TTGTATGAAATGTGGGTCCATGCCGATGCTCAACTTGATGTGTACAAATCTTTGAAGACTACCGTGAAAGTTTTCGAAGCGGAGCTTGAGGGCATCTGTGTCAAGGAACGTGCAACCCGTGAAGCTTGTGGTTACAACTCTGGTACGTCTGGCGGGGATGAGGATGATGACGCTGCGGATAGGCTTGCCTTTAATCCCTGGTATGATGATGAGTACGCCGATGGGGATGATGTGGCGTGAAGCCGTTGTACTTATTTTTTTTGTTTCTTTGATATTTTTGTGAGGGCGTCCTCGAGCCCTTTGTAAAAAGTATTGTAATCCGATAATTGAAATGGAAGAATTGTCTTTTTGCTATGTATTTCTGGAGTCCCATTCTCTTTTCTCTTTTTTCTCTTTTTTTTTTGCTATGTGAAATCCTTGATTTTTTGGCTGTTTGTATATGGTTGATATTGGCTGAGTCGAACATAGACCGACATGAGGCCTAGTATTGATTAGTTCGAACGAGATCGAGGTTTGATGAGGCTGAAAATCAAATAATTCGAGCGAGTCGGATATAAAGTACTTCAAACGAGGTCGAATGTAAAGTAATTCGAGCGAGGTCGAATATAACATAATTAGAGAGAGGTCGAATGTAACATTATTCGAGCGAGGTCGAATGTAACGTAATTCGGGCGAGATCGAATGTAAAGTAATCCGAGCGAGGCCGAATGTAACATAATTCGAGAGAGGCCAAATGTAACGTAATTCGAGCGAGGTCGAATGTAACGTAATTCGAGCGAGGTCGAATGTAAAGTAGTTCGAGCGAGGTCGAATGTAACGTAATTCGAGCGAGGTCGAATGTAACGTAATTCGAGCGAGGTCGAATGTAGAGTGTAAAATGACTTGGCGGGGTTGTGCAATGATGCTGCTTTGTTTATTTCATTTATTGGAGAATATTACATGTTTCTGTTTATTTTATACATACATTGGAGAAGCCCCAGTCTACCTAGTCCCTTCATCCTTCGGCCTGGAGAAGTAGTCGATATGCGGGGCGATGAATTATGCTTGAACTTCGAGATGTCCCCTTCATCGCCTCATTAAAAACCTCCCCGAGAAAACACAATTGGGACAAAACTCAGGCGAGGGAAAAAGAGTATGACTTGGAGGGCGTCCGTTTTCAGAAGTTGAAGTATTTGAGGTGGGCGACATTCCAATTGTTTTGTAGTAGCTTTCCCTCTATTATTTCTAGTTGGAATGATCCTTTGTTTGCTGCTGCCGTGATTTTATTTGGCCCGTCCCAATTGGTTCCTAGTTTACCTTCTCTTGAATCTTTGCTCACCTGTGTTTTGGCCTTGAGTACATAGTCTCCGACTTTGAGTGGTCGTACTTTGGCCTTTTTGTTGTAGTATCGTTCTGCTTGCTGTTTTTGGGCTATCATTCTTATGTAAGTCATGTCTTTTCGCTCCTCTGCTTCGTCGAGGTCTTGTTTCTTGTTCTCGTCGTTGCCTGGTCCGGTTTCATTGGAATATCTCAAACTAGGTTCCCCTAACTCGAGTGGTATCATGGCGTCAGTCCCATAGACTAGTGAATATGGCGCTTGTCCTGTGCTTGTTTTTGGCGTGGTGCAGTATGCCCACAGTACTTCTGGTAGCAATTCCGGCCACAGTCCCTTGGCGTCCTCAAGATTTTTCTTCAAGATGTTTAGTATTGTTTTGTTGGAGGATTCGACCTGGCCGTTACCGGCAGTGTGATATGGCGTGGAGAGTATTCGCTTGATGTGCCATTTCTCGAAGAATTCGACGGTTTCCGGTGAATTGGGGTCCGTTGTCACAGCTGATTTCTTTGGGGATGCCGAAGTGACATATGATGTTTCTCCATATGAATGTGATAAATTCCTGTTCGCGTATTTGGGCGAATGCACCTGCTTCTACCCACTTGGAAAAATAGTCAATTAAAACCAAAAGAAATCGTATATTACTTCGCCCTGCTGGAAGGGGTCCGACAATGTCCATTCCCCATTTGATGAACGACCATGGTGATGTGACCGAGTGGAGGTGCTCGCCCACTTGGTTTATCATAGGAGCGTATTTCTGGCACTCCTCACACTTCTTGACGTAGTCGGCGACTTCCTTCTTCATGGTAGGCCAATAATAACCCGCTCGTATAAGGCATCTGACGAGGGCTCGGTTGCCGGTATGGGCACCGTAGTGGCCTCCGTGTACTTCCTCGAGGACGTGTCTTGTTTAGTTTGGCCCTAGGCATTTCGACAAGGGGCCTCCAAATGTTCTTTTGTATAGGTCATGGTTTATGATGCTGTACCTGGCCGCCTACATTCGAAGCTTTTTGGCTTCCTTTTTGTCTGATGGGAGTACTCCCTCCTGCAAATATATTATAATACGGTTGCGCCAGTCCCAAGTCAAATTTACAGAGCGTACCTCAAGTTTTTCTATTGACGAGTGGAGGAGGGTGACCTCGTTTTCTTTTGTAATGTTTTTGGTGGCTGCTGCTAACTTGGCGAGGCTATCTGCCTCGATATTTTGTGCTCGAGGTATCTGGTCGAGTCAACATTAGTCGAATTCTGGTAGCAGTTTATGAATTTCTGCCCGGTACTTTTGTAGCCTCAGCTCTTTGATTTGGAAAGTCCATGTGACTTGGTTGACAACGAGTTGTGAGTCGCACCTGAGGACGACTCGTCGTGCTCCGTATTTGAGACCTAGCTTTGTTCCTGCAATTACGGCCTCGTACTAGTCTTCATTTTTAGTCATATCGGGGCACCGATTGGAGTATGACTTCACCTGTTGGGACATCGAGTACGAGTCCCAGTCCAGATCCTGACACGTTGGACGCGCCATCGGTGTATAGGACCCATAGGTTGGGTAACCTGGGAGAGGTACGAGAAGTTTCCTGCTCGACCTCAGGCATTATTTTGGCACTGAAATCGGCAACGAAACAAAGTCGGCGAGTACCTGCGATTTTATCGTTGTTCGCGGCTGATATGTTATATCGTGCTCGCTCAATTCTATGGCCCACTTGGCCAATATCCCCGATAGTTCGGGATTATGTAGGATGCTTCGTAGGGGGAAGGTCGTCACCACCGATATGGGGTGGCATTGAAAATAGGGTCTAAGCTTTCGTGAAGCTATAACCAATGCCAAGGCCAATTTTTCGAGGTGGGGGGACCTTGTTTCGGCGTCGACCAGGGTTTTGCTAATGTAATTGATTGGAGATCACGTACCTTTGTTTTCACGGACCAATACCGCTCTTACCGCGACCTCTGATACGACCAAGTATACCATGAGGCATTCGTCGGGTTCTGCTTTGGTGAGCAGCGGGGGCGAGGACAAGTATGCCTTTAGTTCTCTTAAGGCCTTGATGCATTCTGAACTCCACTGGAGCCCGTTGTCCTTTTTGAGCACGTTGAAGAATTTGTGGCATCTGTCAGAGGATCTTGAGATGAACCTTGATAAGGCAACTATACGGCCCATAAGTTTTTATACCTGTTTCTTGCTGGTCAATACTTCAGGTATTCCCTCGATGGCTTTGATCTGGTCGGGGTTGACCTTGATGCCTCTTTGTGATACCAGAAAATCGAGGAACTTGCCCGAAGTTACGCCAAAGGCAGACTTCTCGGGGTTTAGCTTCATACCGTATTGCCTTAGAATACCGAAGGCTTCCTTCAGGTGGTCGATGTGGTCTTCCTTCTTTTTTGATTTGACCAACATGTCGTCTGTGTACACTTCCATTGTTTTGCCGAGTTGGTCCTTGAACATCTTGGTGACCAGCCTTTGATAAGTTTCCCCTGCCTTCTTCAACCCGAATGGCATGACTCTGTAACAGTACGTTCCCTGATGGGTGATAAAAGTAGTCTTTTCTTGGTCCTCCTCCTCCATGAGGATTTGGTTGTAACCTGAGTAGGCGTCCAAAAAGCTCAACAACTCGTGCCCTGCCGTTGCGTCGATGAGTTAATCGATGTGAGGCAACGGAAATGAGTCTTTCGGCCAGGCCTTGTTTAGGTCTGTGAATTCCACGCACATCCGCCACTTTCCGTTTTTGTTTTTCACCATGACTATGTTGGTGGCCCATTGAGGGTATTTTGATTCTCGGATAGAGCCGTTAGCGAGTAGTTTATCCACCTCATCGTTGACGGCTTCGTTAATTGCGGTGTTGAATTTTCTTCTTACTTGTCGTACTGAAGGGTAGAGTGGATCAATGTTCAACTTGTGTGTGGCAACGTCTTTCGGGATACCTGGCATATCTGCATGGGAAAAAGCAAACAGATCGGCGTTGTTAATTAAAAACTTATGAAATTTATCTAGCTCTGGGAGTTTATAGCCTATGTAATCCCTTTTGATGTTGTCGCTGCTGTCTACTTGGACGGGGTCGAGGTCTTCTATCGTTGACCCTGCGGCTTCCGCGACGTCGGGATCCTTGATAATGTCTTTTTGTTCGTTGAGTTCGGACCCCGACTTTGGTAATTGCTATGCTTCTGAGTCTGTTCCCTTTAGCTGTTGAGTGTATGTACAATCTTGGGCGATGCGATAGCATTCTTTGGCTGTGCGCTGTTCGCCTCAGTTGCTAAATATCCCCCACAGAGTAGGGAACTTGATTACTTGATACAGGCTAAACGGGATGGCTCTCATGGTGTGTATCCATGGTCGTCCTATGATGGCGTTGTAAGCTGTATCCTGGTTCATGACATGGAACGTTGTTTCTAGGGTGACGCCCCCAGCCAGAACGAGCATCGTTATTTTTCCTGAGGTTCGCTCGACTGCATTGTTAAAACCTTTTAGTGTTATGCAGCATGGTACTATCTTGTCCTCGAGTCGCATTTGTGCGAGAACTCGAGGGTGAATAATACACGCGCCGCTTCTGTCGTCTACCATTATTCTTTTTACATCAGTATCTGAAATACGTAAAGTAATGACAAGAGCATCGAGATGAGGAAAGGTCAAACTGTGGGTATCTGAATTATCAAAGATGATACTGTCTTCGAGGTCATCATACCGTTCGTGGGTGATCGACTACTTCAGTTTATGTGTGGTGGTAAATTTCACGTGGTTGATTGCTGCTTCATTGCCCCCGCCGATGATCATTTGGATAGTGCAAGCGGGGGATGGTGGTTTTGGAAGGCCTTGGTGTTGTTCTCGTCCGCAGCCGAAGTTGGCTCTTCCTCGGTCGCTCATTAGCTCCCTTAGGTGCCCTTGGTGGAGCATGTTCACTAATTCTTGCCGTAGGGCTATGCAGTCCTCGGTTTTGTGACCCTGCTCCTGATGAAATTCACAAAGAACGTTTGACTTTCGGGTACTTGGGTCGGACTTCATCTTTTGTGGCCACTTCACCTTCGGGACGAGCTTTTCTAGTGCGTACACTATTTTTGAAGGGGAAACACAAAAGTTGTGCGCATTAACGATGGTCCCTGTATGCGGCCTGGACGGTCTTTCAGCATGGCGAGGAGATGGTGGGATGGCTGTTCTGACATAGGGTTGATGCCTGTCTCGGTTGAGGCGTGGACCTGACTGATCTCTTCGACCGTCATTACGATGGTCTTTCCTCGATTCTGTTTGGACCGACATTAACCGTTGGGTTGGACCATTAAGGTCATCCTCGTCTGCTCTCACCTCAGCACAGTAAGCATTGGGAATTTCTTCCCAAGTGGTGGGAGGGTATTTTATGAGCCTACTTAATAACTTTCTGGTCGCTCTCAACCCATTCCTGTTCAACCCATTTTGAAAAGCTGCCACCGCCATCCCTTCTGATACATTTCGTAAGCTCATTCTTACTCTATTAAACCGAACGAGGAAGTCCCTGAGTCCCTCGCTAGGCGATTGCCTAGCGACAAATATATCATTTACCCTAGCTTCCGCCTTCTTAGCCCCGGCGTGGGCGGTGACGAACTTGTTGGCCATTTCTTCAAACGTTGTTATAGAGCGTATTGGTAATTGTGAGTACCAGGTTAAGGCTCCCCCCGTTAAGGTCTCACTGAACTTCTTCAGCAACACTAATGGTACTTGCTCTTTTGAGAGGTTGTTGCCTTTTACTGCTGTGACGCAATGAATGATGTGATCTTCGGGATCTGTCGTGCCGTCATATATCTTCAAATATGGCGGCATCTTGAAGGTTTTGGGTATTGCATGTGGGGATGCCTCCTCATTGTATAGTTGTTCGACGAAACGACCGACGTCCCATTTTCGTAGTAATTTCGGGGCGCCCGGTATCTTATCAGCCCTTTCTTGATGCTCCCTCATTTGGTCGTGGAGCGTGATCTCTTCCAACTCCACACTACTATAAAGTAGGAAGAGAGGGTCGCACTAGCTTTTACCCGATATGAGGGTCGGGATCGAATTCCTCAGAGAGCTAGAAATTGGAGCTGGGTGTCTATCTAGACTAGAGTCGGTAGTTGTTCTAAATGTCACTTCCAATATTTTTTGGGTTTTTTCAATTATAAACTACTATTATCAAACTACTAATTGAAACTAGATTATGCTACGAAATAATTGCTAAGGTTGTATCTAATGGGGAGAAAGGCACTAGGGTCGTGACATCACCTAGGTGGTTAATTGACGGGTAGATGTTACTAAGGTTCGATTGACATAATTGGGGCTTATGCTATAACCGTTACACAATTTTATCCACTCTCACACCTCTCGGTAGAGAGTGATTTTGCCCGAAATACTCTCTCGAGACCAAATGGGTAGGCAAATTAGATCAAGCAACTAGGGTTCAAGTAGGGTGATTACTCTCTCGAGGCTTAACCCGTTAATTGGAACTATCATTTCTCATGAATCCATCCCAATTCCTTGTTGGGTCAATTTTGGAGACTTAGACTCTCTTTCTCAAGAAGAGTCAAATCCACAAAGCATAAATCAGTGTTTGCAACCACCAATTCATAGATTAAAACATAAAATCAACCCAAATAGCAAACACCCATAGTCAATCTAACCCTAGATGGCAACACCCATCAATTACCCACACTAGGGTTGAGCCACAACCCTAGCTAATGGGTTTAGCTACTCATGCTTGAAGGAGAAAATGAAGAAATAGATGAAGAACAAGACATATTAATTAAATGCTAAATTGAAATACAAGAATCTATCGTTAATTTGAAACTAAGATGCCAAAAATGGCTACAATTGAGGTTCTCACGAGCGCAACTCAGTTCTGGAATTCACTGATGACCTAAAATTGGTAAAATGTTCTATTTATACTAGGCTGGAAAAACTAGACAAAAATACCCCTGCGGGGTCAGTGCGGGCCGCATAAAATGGACCGCGGCCGCACTAGGCTCTTTGATTTCAATTCTAGGCTCTCTGAACTTGGGCTCCGCGGACCGTGTAGAATGGATCGCGGTCGCGGAGGCAACTGGCGCGGTCCGCACAATCACGACCGCGTACCGCATGGCTTGGACTTGGCATAATTCCATCTCTCTTAATCTCTTGTCCGCGGACAGCACAAAAAGGTAGCGCGGCCGCGGAGCCTTCACCGTGGACCGCGCTATATGTACCGCGGCCGCATTGCCTGAAGCCCACTTTTGTCAACTCTCTGAACCATCTAGTGTGGCCGCATTCGACTTTGAGCAGTCCGCGCTAGGCTTGTTTGCCCTCAGTTTACTTGGTCTTTGATACTTGAGCAGGTTTCACTCCTTTTGGGCCGATCCTTGACATTTCGTCACCTTGTCGATCAAACCTGCAATCAAGCACAACTTATGAGCCTTTTGGGACTATTTTATAACAATTTATATTCAAAGCATAGGCAAGTAGAAGCATAAAACACGCTAAAATCCCTACTTATCAACTCCCCCAAACTTAAGCCTTTGCTTGTCCTCAAGCAAACAAAATAAGACCCACCCTTTAAGGGAAAATTCAAGTATTTCCAGCTATCCTAAAGTAACCTCAACAAGCATCAATTGGGACTAACAATTGCCCTCAATACGAATGAATCATCAACAACATTTAAACTTTGAAAAACCATGGATCAAGTGTGACACAAGAGCATCAAGAGTTGACTCATTACATCAAAGAACTCTCTCAATTACTTTGGTCGCTGTGGAACCCAAACTCATCCATCCTCAACTTTCCCTAAGCAAACCTCATCTTTTAGAGTATTGACACACAAATCGAGGTTAATGGGAATTCACTCATCTCTCTCAAGAAAAAGTCACAAGTCCGTCTCTAAGTACCATATGATTGACCCTCATGTAAGTATCCACTAATGCAAGCGTCATTCAACTCAATATCATATAGGGCTTTTGTGGAGTCAATGTGAAGGCTTTTGGGTAAGGGTAGGACATGTTTTTGTTCAAGTGGATTCAATCTTCCCTTAAGCACTTTTTTTTGATTCATTTGGCACAATTCTCTTGACTCTTTGAGTCATTCACTTTTTTCTAAGGGGTTAGAGAGACACATTGTCACTCTTTCTTTTGTGTTTCAAACCAGTTCTCCTTTTTCAACTTTCCACGCCTTTCTTTCTTTGCTTTTCTTGAATCCCTTTGAGATCATTTTCACATTGGGCTTTCTTTTTGTCTTTTTCTTCTCTTTTCTTTTTCATTGCCTTCCTTTTCTTTGCTTTTGTACCTTTTACCACTTTGTTCCCTTTCTCGTCTCTCCCCCCAAACTTAGACTTTTGCCATTGCTCAAGAAAAGATCGGGTGCCAAGAGAGGGTATAATTTAGAACGGGCTTAGGCTTGTAGCATTTGTTCTTTAAAGAAAAAGGTTTAAGGCTCAAAAGGGTTAGCTACGGATTATATCATTGGTAGGCTGTGAAATTGTTCAACTATCATTTGGATCAAGGAGAGCCTATAATCACTTCTCAAGTCGAATTTCGCTCAAAATTTCTCCTCAACAGACATTCAGGGCAAGTTCTAGACCATTGGCTCGGGACTTGGACTCATAATTCAATTTCTCACCACGCAAACTCAAGGATTACTAAAGATATAGAGTCGGGGGCCCATAACAACCTTAGACACGATTGAGCACACAATAGTCCGAAAGACCGCATGATGATTGTTTGGTCAACACAAGAGTCTCAAGGTCGCTACTTTCACCATCCTAAACACAACCACTTGTCTTTGACCATGGGATCAAAGGCAAATGTGTTAGGCCCAAGTGAAGCTTTGCTTGAGGTACCCTTAACTATAAACTACCAAAAACAAGAAAAACAATAATGGACTCAAACCCTTAAGAATGTTGTCATGCCATCTATCACTGGGAAGAGCCACCCGGTTCACACAATACTCCACCTTTGGAAAGAACCGTGGCATTAAGAAAACCAAAGGCTTAATAAAAGCGTCAAAACAAAACAAAAAGCTACGAGCCTATATAAGAAGCTAAAAATGAAATTTTTTTACGAAAAATAGAAAATAGAATGAATATGTACAAACGGGGAATGAATATACAACGGGGGATGAATATATACAATAATGTAACTTTATATACAGACCAAAAGGAAGATAAAAAGTACGATGAAAGTAACTAAATGTAAAGTTATATACAGACCAATAGAAAATCAAAAGAAAGCATAAACTAAATCAATCTATATATACAGTCATCCAATGGATAAAAGTAGGGCACACCCCCTCAAATAAAAGCTGGCATTGTCCCCCATGCCAACTAAAGCAAAAATAAGCATAAAAAAGTATAGGGTAAAGATATGAAGACTCCCTAAGCCGTGTCCGTTTGCATGGGATCATGAGTGGTCCCCGAGTCCTCTGTATGCGCGGGAACCTCAGACTGGTTCCCGGTCTCCGGCTGCTCAGCTGTTGGGACTGGGGCCTGGACCTGGACAGGCTGAATATCAGGAACATCCTGTGGCTGACTGGAGGAAACCTCCGGTGGTTCCGCCAACTCGATGATCGCCTCATCTGCATTGGGGAGCTTCCTCTTCTTCCTAAGAAGCCTTTGTCTCTGCTCCTGCTGTGGCTCTGCTGCTGGTACTGTTGCTGGAGCTGGATCCTCAAATAGCAAGTCTAAGGGTAGCTGGTCTGCCTTCAGCTTGTCCACATCTGCTCTAAGCTCCTTCACAGACTCCATGGAAGCCCGTGTTTTGCGCAGTTTCCTGTGCTCCCTGGCAAGCTCCTTCAGAGCCTTGCCACGTGAATCCACTGCCTTAGACAAGGGATCCTGAGTACTGATGATCTTTTCCTGGTTTTCCAGGATCTTCTTCAATGTGTCCTCAATGGACTGTGGAATCTGTGCTGGCTGTGGTGCTGACTGAGCCGCAATGGTAGAAGACAGTGTAGACAACTTGGATGACGCAGCTGACATCCAATTGTTCAAGCTATGAAGTGCCTGGCTCAGCTGGTGGGCAGTGATAGGATGGGCCCGGGAAGACGGAATCCCGAGCCAGCTGAAGTAGAAGGACCAGCAGTAGTGGAAGGTCCTGGAGGTAACTCAACGGTGGTGGAGGCAGGCTCAGTGGAAGTGGGCTCAGCGGAGAGCTCTACCGCAACCGGCTCTGCAGACTGGCCAGTTGGAGCAGAGGCAGGCGGCTTGTAATTCTTGTCCTTGGGGTTGTCTGGCCCCTTCAAACTGTACCACGAAAACGGAGCCACAGGTTTGACCTTGATATCAAAAGGTCTCTTCTCCACCTTTAGGTCCCAGAAATACATAGTGAGGGTGTTGGGAAAAGGATAGTTCCGGTCATGCTCAAGCCCTACTGCGGAAATGACGCGTGACATAACATTGCCCACGTTGATAGGGTATCCTGCCATAATAGATGCAATAAGAACAGCCCGGGCAAGTGGAATAGTCTGATCATGGGTAGTGGGGTCAAGCCGACTGCACACAAAAGTCAACCACCCCCTAGCCTCAAAGTTAAAGGTCTTCCGAAATATTTTGGTCACTGCTTGCAACCACTCTGGAACAGTACCCGGGATTGCCAGATATGAAGCTAACCACGGACGAATTTCTTAGCCCATTGCCAACTTTTCATTGTAAAGGGTCTCATCTTCTTCATTGAACCCCAAGTATTCATTGAGTGCCTTCCCAGTAAATACCACCTTTTTGTTCCGCACTTTGGTCACTTTAGTTCCCTTCAAGATGTGGGCCACATTGCTATAGAACTTCTTGACCATGTGCTCATTTGCCTTTACACATTCACTCCGAAAATACGCCCAACCCACTCGAGTTTGAAACTGTCTATGCACATTTGGGTGTAGAGGTAGAAGGTCTCGCTCCTCTCAAGAATTAGCTTTCGTAGTGGCCACCATTCCCTAAACTTGTGGAACGCTACTTGACTGACGAACCTATC